CCCCAAAACCCCAAAACCCCAAAACCCCAAAACCCCGAAATTTTTATCTTTCATTGAAAATATTTTACATAAAATGAGCAACGAATATGGCTACAAGTATACTTCTGCATAACTCCTAGAGAGATTGACAGAGTTAATCCTATCGTTGGGAAGAATTGCATGATGAGTAATTTTTTCGAGAGAATTTATAGAAACTGACAAATAAGAAGCATCTTATTTCCAAGTGTAATTTCTTTAAAATTATTCATAGTAGATAATACTGATTTCGTAAGGAATGTAGCAGAAGCTACTGATGTCAGCAGATCTTTCATTAAGGCGAGGAGAAGTAGAGATCCTCTATCCTTGAGAGAGTTTACTCGGAGCGTGAAGTTGAAGTAATGCTAGCAGTAAGTTATTGCGAAGCTTGTGGTATTTCAGCTGTATCTGTAGATATCAATACCAGCAATTATAAAGCCAATGAAAGTCATTATATCAAATACAGGAGGCACGTTTAGTCTTGATCATCCCATAGGAACTTTAACAAGTCATCAATGATAAAGCATACCATTAACGGTGATTTGAAGCACGAACTATTTTCGTTGCAGAATCCAGAACCTAGTCATGAGAATTCAAAGAAAAGGAAACCTAAGAATAAGAGGAACTTTATACACATCCAAAATGGACCTGATAGGATTGAAGAGTCTAAAGATCAGGTGCGTGTCTCTATGACAAAAGAGAAAGAGAGGGCTGCTCTCTTGCCTGATAGTGAGTCCTGGGTCTAATCGCTTAGCATTTAAGCCACTTGCGCAGAAACAGTACAGAATAATAGAGAATTTTGAGCCAAAAGTCTTATCGAAGGTGCATATTATCATAAATTATCTAGTTCCAGAAGCTTAAGTTTAAGATGAAATAAGTGAAGCAGCAAGATAAGCACCAGAGGTGAGAAGAGAGAAGAGCTAGTATTCTCCCAAATTGACTCAGTTAAGCGGTACTCTTGCTAAACATAACTGATTTAGGAACAAGTCAGGAGTAGAATTCATCAACTTAGAGAGACCAGACTTAAAGGTGCACCAGAAGTCATTCAAAACTCAGCATGAGTTACTTGCAAAGTTACCTAGGGCTGTCTATCAGTATGTTTGTAAGATAATTCTTAGGAATAATACCATTGACAATTCTCCAGAGAGATGAAGCAAAGCATTTGGTAGAGCCAGACATTCTGATGTAAATATTCAAAAGATTACTCAAAGGAAGTTTAACAGTAATTTTGAAACCAATTTTTGTAGAATCAGGCACATATGAAGGCCTCAAAGTTTACAAAGCAGTTAAAGGGAAGTCCCTCATTGAGGTAGGTGCGAGTATTGACCATTGGTAGTGACTCAACCAAAAGATACGCAATATTTTGGCTTCCACAAGTAAGCTCTCTGCTTATTAATTCTAGGGATAAACAGCTATGATGACAATCTTGATACTCCTAAGAAGCAGGAGGTTAAACTAAAACCACAAACACGAAGGTGGTTTACTCTGTAATTTTTTAGGAAGAAGAGCATTAAATCGCCTATGAAGAAGGTCATATTGTCTAAATGTTCATTTAGAGATAGATCTGATGATCGGGGTAATTATGACTCCAATATTTCTAATATTGATTTAAAAGTAGTTCTATATCCTTCTACCTTGAAGGGGTTTTGGGGTTTTGGGGTTTTGGGGTTT